TAATTGATCCTTTAGAAGTCAAAGAGGATATCAAAATGTTAGGCAGTTATGTATGTTTGATCTTGCACTTGCAGTTCTAATTTTGTATGTAAACATCTATACTTATATGAAGTTAATTTTGTCCAATTAACAAAGTTTTAACAGAACATTTAAAATATTTGAACAGTAAGTCCACAAACATGGAACTTGAAAAACGCAGTACTGCAGGGATGACAGCTGTGATTTTAGATTCTGAAACAAAGATGCACATAAAAACTGATGTGTCTAAGGCCAGCCAGATAGTTCAGTGAATTAAAGCACCTGCTTAGCAGATGCAGGGACTGGGGTTCAATCCCCAGCTCCACATGCACTGCCAAAAAAACAGGAGTGTCACTATGAGTCCAATTTGTGTAGTGAGACCCTGTAGACCCTGTGCTAAATAAATAAAATAAACTGATGTGTTGTTGTCAGTGTGCCTTCCTCTTAAGAACCACTCCTAGGGAACCTCTTTGCAGAGGACAGCTGGGTGGTTCTAGTCTAGACAGCTCCTAGCACTTGGGAACAGATAACAATCTCCTGGGCATCTCTTTCTGCCTGGGTGCTGTGGGGTTTGAGCAAAGTGATGCCACCAGTCTCAGCACAGACAGTGAGGGGTGCACGTGCGGATGCCCATGGGATAACCAAATGCAGGATAAAACTTGACATCTCTGTCTTCATTTTCCGTGTCCTTTATTAACTAACAGCTCTGGGTCAGATCCTGCTGAGCTCTGCATGTAGGTAGGGCGATTGATCGCTCAAGGAATGTCCATTTAAAAACTGATAGTAAAAGTTTATGAGCCCTACATTTACCTAATCTATCTCATCTCCCCTCAAAACTGAGGGACACCAAGAAGAGGAACAAAGGTGTGTTCAGGATGGGTAGGAACAGCTAGCTGCCAGCCTGTACAGCATCATTTCAACCCTTGGAGTAGTGCCTAGGAGTCTTCAACTATCATCCTAAACCTTCATCTTTCTTGCAGATTCCAGGAAAGGCAGATCCTTGCAGAGGTCTCATCCCAGGAAGGAGCTGAGGCTGGCCTTGGGATGGGGCTGCCCCAACTGCCTCCTGGGAACTGGGTTGGCCCCTCAAGTCACAAAGACTTCTCCAGAGCCACCTCCCAGCAGAGTCCTGAGAGGAGGAGAAATCAATTTGCAATGCTGCCAACCTTTGCCTTTGTTTTCCTTTTCTACAACCTCAAAGTCTCTGTCAACCCCCAGGGCAGAACTTGAGCCCCTTTCTTGGTTCTTCTCAGTACTGCCTGCTGATCAAAGCTCCTTTCTTGTGCTGACTGTCACTTTGGGACTTGTAGGTGAGCCTGGTCTACTGGAACTCCCAGAGCCAGGATTTGCTTCCTAAAACACCACTAACAAGACCAACAACTAGGGGCTGGTGAGATAGCTCACTGGTCTAAAGCGCCTGCTTAGGCAAGCTTAGGCAAAGCACAGGGACAGCAGTTTGATTCCCCAGCACCACATGTCAGCCAGCCCCTCCCCCAGGGTGGGCTGAGCTGGCTACAAAAAAAAAAAAAAAAAAAAAAAAAACAGACCAACAACTAAATAAATAATCACCATAAGTATTATAATTATCTTAAACCTTAGGCCCTGGAGTCACAGAACTCTTTTGAGTCATTTGCAGGTACCTGACCCCTACCCCCACCACCCCAGCACTGCCAAGCTGCCAGCCCTGGGTGAGGCTGTTCCACCACAGATGCTGCTTGGCCATTGAAGGAGACCAGCATCATTCAAAGTGACATCTCGTGGACTCACTGTCCCTGGATTTGCTCTGATCTGTGTCTCTATGGTAAAGCTTGGCCCTCCTTTCCTCTTCCCAGTTAGTTTTTTCTCCATGGCTCCAGTGTCTTATTTTTCTGGTGTGTTACTTCTGTCCTCCTTTGAACATGAGTTCTAAGGGGACAGGAAGCTCTGTCTCCGGTTCACTGCCCTGCCAGTGATTGGCATGGAGCAGCCAGGGAGGTTGGTTTTATATGTTTTCTTTTCCCTCTGAATATTAGATCATTTCACTTCATGACATAATCTGGCAATTGACCTATTAACAGGTAAAGGAAAGCACACACATTTATAAATATGCAGAAACCTTGGAGCAGTAGCCAAAGTTAAGACTCAGAGAAGAGATAGGCACTTGGCGCTTCAGTAGCATCTTGAGTTGCACAAAGGAACTACAGCAGTAACAGTAAGGGAAGGTGAGAAGAGGCCAGCAAACCCAACAGAGGTCTTCTTGCTGTGTAGACAAAGCCTCCTAGGCCTAGGAGACAGCCATCAACGGCCACCTGTGGTGTCACACAAACTTTCCTCCAGGAAACATCCTTCCTAAGCAGATGGAGCAGTGCCAGGAGATCTTCTGACAACCACTGTGTTCATATCTAATGGAAGCACCTCCTGCTCCCCAGAAGACAGCGTCTCAGAGCTGGTCCTAGGTCTGCAGCTCCGCAGAAAAGCCATGCTGAGATACACTGGAGAGACTAGCCCTTGGGTGGGCTATTTCTATCTTTATTGGACTCTGTAAAACCCTTTCCACAGTAAAAGATGCTTCTTGGGTAAGGAGAAGGCAGGGAAAATGGGCTCCAAGTGGGACTGGTGGGAGCATACAGAGAGCAGTGTCTGAGGAGGACATGCTTAAGACAGTGGGGGGAAACGGGGAAAGGACTGGAATGAGCAGAGCACAAGCAACTTCATCTTTTACCTGGAGCCCTTTTGGTTCCAGAAATGATCCTTCCGGCCCTATGGCAACAGGAATGAAGCCAGGCCACGGAGACTGAGCACACAGGCAAAGCTTTCATGTGGGAGGTGGCTTTACCTCAGAGAGAAGGGGTTGGCACTGGTGGAGAGGAAGCTTGGAAGCCTGTTGACAAAGCAGGGGGCAAGCTTTCTATTGCATTGCTGGGCTGGTCAGTGCCTAGCTGATCATTACCTGGGTTTGGGTTCAGAGAAGTCCTTATCACTTGAAAGGACAATCTGGTGACTGTCATTGGGTGATTGTACCCACTCAGGAGGAGCTCATTTATGGGATGCTGTGCTCCTAGAACTCCAGGTGACTGAAGGTTTAGGTAGTGATTGAGACTTCCTGGGGTCCTGAAATGGGGCACTGTAATCCTGCCAATCAAGTGATCCTGTGATCCTTGAAAAGCCTAACCCCAGAATTGGTGATCTCAGTCATGAAAAGGGATAAGAGAAGCAGAGCATAGCATATGTATATTTGTGTCAGTCCTTCCTGGATAGGATACTCTAAGGCCTGGAGTTCATCTTCTGTACCCATGGTGGCCCTTAACTATCTCACTCTGTCCATACAACTGCTTCACTATGGGGCTGAAAGGAAGGAGAGGCAGGACAGCCATGGGACATGCTCAGCCTCTGCCCACATAGAGGCCCATACATCCAGCCTTTTAGGACTTCTGTCAGCATTGTCTCAGAATAAGAATCCAATGATTTCTCCCGGCTGCATGGCTGTAGGCCTTTCTGGTCCTCCAAGTCTTGGCTCACACCCCATGGAATCCCACTCCATCCTGTAACTATTAAATTCTATACCACCTGGCCTCCCTATTCGACACACCCCCATCACTGACCTCTTCTAGCACCTCAGATCACTTAGGGGTTGATATTCACAGCTTTCCTTCTTTCACTCTCTACTCTGCTGGGACAGGATAACTCCCAAGTGTCAGAAAGCCTAGCACAGGGGCCAGGGAGACAGCTCAGTAGAATAAGCATTTCCCTGGCAAGCGCAAGGGCCTGAGTTCAATCCCCAGTTCTGAAGAAAAAA